ATGAAGGCCAGGTGACCTAAAATTATTCTCAGTGTCTAATTAACATGCATCATACTTTGCAAATGGAACTCCTCATTCTTAAAGCCCCTGGACTCCTCACGTTCTCGCCCTCTCACCCTATGATGAGATGCTTACTCACTAGAAATTCATGCAACCAAAGATGAGAAGGAGAGGCAGAAGTGGGAAACTGGAGGCAAGGAAGGTGCCGAACAATCTACTGCCAAGGAAGATGGGTGTTGGGGGTGCTGGAGGGAGAAGATGGGGGGTCAGGCAGGCTGGAGACAGTAGGAAGATGGGGGTCAGGCAGACTGGAGATAGTAGGAAGATGGGGGTCAGGCGGGCTGGAGACAGTAGGAAGATGGGGGTTGGGTGGGCTGGAGAGGAATTTCTGAGGAAATCATGAAGGAAAAGGACAGTACGGGGTAAGTGAACGTGTCCAAAGCAATGCCTGAAATACCCTGAACTTGGGTCACGGGGAACATGGAAGAAGTATTCAGAGATACATGAAAATGTAGGTATGCATGAGCTGGATGCTCTGTGTCTCTTGGCTCATGTGGTCCTCTTGGTCAGCTTTGGAAGGGATGGCCACCAAGTCTCCTTCCTTCCTTCCTTCCTTCCTTCCTTCCTTCCTTCCATCCATCCATCCTTTTCTTTTTTGAGACAGGGTCTCACTAAGCTGCCTCACTGCAATCTGCCTCCACCTCTGAAACTGAAACTCAAAGAGTTAGGAATTTTCCCAAAGCCAAACAAGAAGCAAGAGGCAGATCCAGAACCGAGATCCAAGTCTAACATCTAAGCAAGCATCTTGGCCACTTCTAAGAGGTGACTTTGAAGAAAAAGATGGTATACTTAGTCATGGAAATGGTCAGCTCAGTGGTCAAGCAGACACCAGCCAGAGGGCTCTAGAGGTGGTAGGAGATAAGAACTTCTGTTCCAGAGAGGCTCAGCCACAGGGAAGGGAGGCCAAGCTCTGAGATGGGTTCATTCTTTGCAGAAATGATTGCAACCAAGATAGAAATATGAGGTGCTCCCACAGAGAGGACCTTGGAGGAGAAAGAAGCACTGTCAAAAAATATGGAGAACAGATCAGGAGGGTCAGGAGAGAACCAGGGAAGAAAAGTCCTACAAGAGTAGGAGGCAAGCATTGTTCTGACTAGGAAGGGCTGTTGAATGCTACAAGGAGATAGCTCCACACAAGTACCAACTGCGTACCTTTTCCATAGGCACTGCTCTGAGCAGGTCCCAGGGAGACCGTTATTAGGGAAAGGAATAAAACCCTCCATGACAAACACAAGAAGCAAAACATAAGCCAGAGTTGCTGCTTCTAAGTCCTTTACTAAATAATAAATCGTATAACATAGATTATCTCCCTAGTCCCCACTTGGCAAAGATCTCTCACTTATTCATCCAACAGATGTTATTGAGCATCAACAAAATACCAGAGACTATGGTCTGGATCGTGCCTTCCAAAGGTCTAGAAGGTAAGAGGTTGGGGCCCAAAATGGTGCTCCTGGGAGGTAGTGGGACCAGTGGGGGTGTGGCCTCATAGGAGGTCCTCAGGTAATTGGGGGTGTGTCCTTCAAGGACAGTTAGTTTTTCCCTGTTTCCTGGTCTTATCTAACAGTTTGCTCCACTATGTGGTACCTACCATGGCCATGTGGTACCTTCACCAGAATTATGTATATATGTGTGTGACTGTGTATGGATTTGTGCATGTAAGGTCAGGTACAAAAGGGGTCCAGAAGAGGGAGTTGGATCCCCTGAGCTGAAGGTTATAAACCACCCAATGTGGGTGTCAGGAGCCCAACTCAGGTTCTCTGCAGGGGCACTCTCCAGCCCCTTACTGGCTCTTTCTTATTAACTGCTGAACTTTACTTTAGTCACTAGGCAGCCTGCTTTATACATCTTTTAATTTATTCCTCATAGTAGCTTAATGAGGTGGAAGAGTTCAGTTTCAGAAAGACTCACCAACCTACTTGGAGATGAGGTCATCTAGCAGCTGGCAGGGCACCCAGGTGGCTTGAGGATGCTCAAGAGAGCCACAGGGCTGAGTGCTTTGTGGGAGGAGAACAAAACGCTTCTGTGTAGTTAAGGCTAAATTCAATTAAAACCACGGTGGAGCAGGAGGCTGTTTAAAAAATACTCTGCTGAGCTGGAGAGATGGCTCAGCAGTTAAAGAGCACTGCTCTTGCAGAGGACCTAGGTTCAATTCCCAGAACCCACATGGTGGCTAATAACCATCCTAACTCCAGTTCCAGGTGATCTGACGCCCTCTTCTAACCTCTGTGGCACTGCACGGCAGGGATGCACCTGCCTACATGCAGGCAATATACTCATACACATAAAATAAAAATAGTAAAATATTTTTAAAGTAAAATAAATAAAAAATACTCTGCACCAGGTATGATGGCATATATCTGCAATCCCAGCGCTTAGGAGGTAGAGACAGGAAGATCAGGAGTTCAAGATCATCCTCAGCTACATGGCGAATTCTAGGCCAGCATGGGTTACATGAGACCTTGTCTCAAAGAAGCAAATATATAAACAAATAAAAATATAAAATATAAAAAATATTTTGGAAAACATCATGGAGTCTTTTACTTGTTAGATTAAGTCTGAGGTCCAAGAAAGAACCAGGACTTCTGTCAGAGCACATATAACTCAACTTCGCAACCTTCTACTTTATTTTTTACATTTTTTTACTTGCATATGTGTGGATGTATATAAGAGTGTGTGTGTGTGTGTGTGTGTGTGAGCATGTGGTGCCAAGGTGCATGTGTGGAGGTCAGAGGACATCTTGCAGGAGCTGGTTCTCTCCCTCCACCACATGGGTCCCTGGGAATTGAACTCAGGCTGTCAGCCTCACTGAGCCATCTTTCCAGCCCAGCAACCCTCAACTTATTGAGTCTTTTCTAGTTACAAGTAGACTGTATGGACTGTACCAAGTCTCAGAAGCCTGATCTTCACCCTGGCTATGTGGCTTCCAGTGAGCTGGTTTTTCTCTCTGGGCCTCAATTTTGTTTTCTGTGAAACATGGGCATTCATCTAGACCATGGAGTTATTTGTTTTTGACCTAACAGGACTCTATTCAAGTAAGCCTTACTTGGAATCCAACACTGAAAACTAGGTACCTGTCTCCTCACCCTGGGACCTATGGGTGCTTTCCACATAGTAGGCACTTCATAAATATTTGAAAGGAAACGGGTGAAATATTATTCTGCCCTTTCGGAAACTCGGATATGTAGTTTTCATTTCCTCCACTGACTGACCTGGGCAGTTAAACTGCTAGGATGGATCCTGAGGGAAAAACCAAATGCTACATTTATGGACAGGCTGCTTCTTGATGCTGACGTGCCTTCCAAGTTCACCATGGCCATAAGTTAAGGGTCTGTCAGCACTTCCATTATGAAAACTGCTCTGTGGTTTCATAACAGAGCCATAAAAGTTTGCCTCTGGCTATACTTGGGTGTAACAAATTGAAAAGCTTGTTTTAAGCCAAAATGTGGGAATCAGAAAACAAACAATTTATTGGTTTCAGACATGGTTTTGTGCCCGTCTCAGCCAAACAAGATTTATGATGTGGAGAATTAGAGTGGATGCAGACACTTAGTTTTCGAAAAGTCTGAGAAAGAGGGGGGAAATGCCAAATTACTTATATTTCAAAAGAGGGTGCCCAAACACAATTGGTCATTCTTTTGGTTATATTTTCATCTAGTATGCTGTATGACATGTCGATAAGACTCAGAGCCTATTGATGTATTCTCTTCCTTTTTACAGAATTTTCTTCTAATTATGTTAGAATGACCAAATTGCCTTGTTTGCTTGGAAATCAACATAAATCAACTGCCAAAGAAAAATGATTATTGGGTTGACTTAATGACCAACAGCAACAACAGCAAAACCTGCCAGTCACGAATTTAAAAGGTAAGGAAGGGAAATGAGGTCATACTGTATCACATTAGAGATGGGAGAGATCTGGTGAAGCCACTGACTTTATAATTTGTGTAAACAAAGCCTCAGCAAAGAAAGAACATGCTAGAAGACACTCTAGAGGTGGTCAACAGGATTAGAGTCAGGTGTACCACAACCCAGGTTAGGTGATCTGCTGGTCTCTCCTCTTACCGGTTATAACTATTCAAGATCCCATGATCTGACATTTTTCTGAACCAATGTCATCTGTCGCAGCACATAACACACCAATACCCTTGCCTCTACTAAAGTCCTCTCTTGCTCACAAGATACAGGCTCTTTGAACTTGGATGACCTAATCACAAGCCACAGGCCAGAGAGACCCTTGTTGTGTACTATTCCCTGTCCTCTGGGCTGAGCACAGTTGTGAATAGTTATTAATGGCAAGTTGTCTTTGGTCAGAGGCAGGTCACTGAGTTCCAGGCTTGCATATCACTCAGCAGGGACACAGACTTGGGCATGAGGAACACCTGGGCTCTAACCCAGGCCAACGCAGCTGGGCAGACAAGGCTATAGGTACAAAGTAGATCATTAGGTATGAATGAGATTCAGTGCCTGACAGTACTCAGCTAAGGTGCTGAGGAACGGACGGGTTTTGTTCACAATTTGCACTGCCTTCCCTCTTCTACATTACCAATGCACCTCATACACCCCACTGACACTGCTATCAATGTCTTCCTCTGTAGCTTCTCCTCCCTCCACACTCTACTGTGGGGCAGGAAACAAATCTCATTCCTTCCTGCATCCTGTCTGACACAGGGAAGGTATAAGGCAGGTGTTTGCTGGATGAATGAATGAATGAATGAATGAGCAAAGGCAAGCACTCACTGAAGATGCTAAGTCCTTTCTCACTGCTCCTCTAGGTCACTCCCCTATTGTTCCTTCTACCCCACACAGTGCCTGGGCTCCCTCAGTGGTCACCACAGCATTTTGGTAGGGAAAAATGCAATTCTGTTCGTTAACAGCCCAGTAAAATATTTTCTTAAGTCAAAAAAGAATATTTGTCGAAAAAACAGGAAATTCCTAAATACCTGGGTAGAAGATCACAACCTACTCCGATTTCTCTGGTTTCCACTTCAGTCTTGGATTGGGTTTCTGTCAAATAGTCCAACCTACTCTGTAGTTCATTATTCTGGAGATGAAGAAAAAAGTAGTTTTAGTAAAACAAATGCATTCCCTCACAAGTATACATCATACAGTCTCTATGTGTTATCTGAATTCTTCCTGGGGTACAGATACCTGTATTTACTGACCATCTCTTATGGAGTTTGGGTTGCAGAAATACATTGATTCAATCTTTATACAGAACACCATATGTGTATGCATACATGCCCAGCCAATTTTACACAAATGAAAACAACATATACTAGTCTATAATACAATTTGCTTTTTTCAATCAACAATTTGTCTGGAGCTGGTAAGATGGTTCAGTAGGTAAAGACAACTGCCACCAAACCTGATGACCAGAGTTTGACCCCCAGGACCCACATGGTGGAAGGAGAGAACCAACTCCTGAAAGTTGTCTTCTGACTTCCACAAGTGTGCTGTGGCATGTGCACCTGTATGTGTATACACACACACACACACACACACACACACACACACACTCAAAGACAGAACAATGTGCTGTAGATTTCTTTCCTTATTTACCAGTTTTCTTTTTTATGTCAACAAACTATGTTAATTGAATCACAGTATCCCACTGTATGGATGTAAAATATTTATTTAATTAATCTCATACCATGGATATTTTAATATTTATCACATTTTGGGCATTATAAATAAGGTACAACTCAACTTTTAACACTCCCCTACTAAGCTATAAAATGAGTAAGTCTATCAATTTAATTTAGTGGGAAATACCTCTATAACTGAATAATTAGTATTTCATAGGTGTGGAAAAATTCAGAATCCCAAACATATAAACTAGAACAAGCTCCTTGGGATTAAAATTAGCATTCTATATGGTTTTCTTTTTTCTTCTAAAAGCTGGAGCCAAACATCACATAGGTTGGTGATTTGATGCTCAGGAATTGGAAATGTGCCCCATGGGGAGAATGAAGACCATGGGAGCAAGAAAGCTGGGGAGCGGGTTAGGGAGATGGTTCAGTGTCAAGAACACTTGCCACTCTGGGAGTTCAGTTCCAAGCACCCATATCAAGCAGTTCACAACCACATTAAGTCCAGTTCCAGGTGCCTGTGGCCTTCAGAAGAGCTGCCACAATGGTGCTGGAAACTGAACTGAAAGTCTTAACTTCAGAGCCCCTCCTTTGATTCTTTTGTGTGTGTGTGTGTGTGTGTGTGTGTGTGTGTGTGTGTGTGT